AAAAAAAAATGATATAATAAATGTAAAAATATTTCCTATTTTAAGGTTAACTAACAATAATCCATTTTCCCATTTTTAATGCCTATATGAAACTTTTATAAATCAATCTTTAGAAATTTAAAAATGGTAATTTTATCTTAAAATATTAGTTCTAAACATATTTAAAGCATTTATTTTCAAATTATTAAGTGAAAAAAATTTTCGGTTTTGTGTCGATAGTTACACAAATTACGATTTGAAGAAATTTAAAGTTTATTGGTGAAAGTTTGACTTTTTTAAGAGTTATTTTTGATACTTTAATAAAATAAAGCAAATGTCAAAGTTTTTTCATTAAAAATTTCAATTTATTCGATTAAAAATTGGTGGATATTCCTATATTGGAAATGCAGATTTAAGGGGTGGTCCGATTGGTACATGGATTACGAATTAAATTTTTTTCTTAAAAAATAATAAATAAGTCATATAAATATGACCATAATAATGAAGTTCTGATATAATAGTACCAAACTACCAGTTGCAACAAGTTTTTTAAAAGTTATGTATATATTTGACATTGTTATTTCTTGGAAAAACAGAAATTTCAAATAGTATTTTTTTTATTAATTAATATAATGCTGCATTTTACTATGTAAATTCTATCGATCATATGCAGATCGGTAATTAAAGTTTATTTAATAATCATATATTTTAAAATATTTTTTAAAAATTTTTAAATATTAATTAAAATTTTTACTTCAAATCACTGGAAGTAATTATTACTATTAGCCAGGATTATTAATTTTTACTGGTACTATATTTTTTTAATGTTAGTCAATTGTTATAATTTCAGTTACCAGTAATTATTACTCCTGCTAATTAATTTGAATTAATAAAAATTAAAAACTAAAATTTACAAATCCTATCAGCTTTTCTAAAATAACCAATCTACGTAAATTCAAAAAAGTTAAGTAATACTAAATCTTCAGTTCAGATGATTAACATTCCAATATTCTCAGCTTATCATTCAAAAGAAAACTAAAAGTAAAAATGCTGAAATTTCAGAAAAAAAAAGAAAAAACTAAAAAAATAAAAGAAAAGTCATAATTTCAGAAAACTTCTAAGAAAAAAACTGAATAAAAAAGGTAATAAATACCAAGCCTTTATTTATCATTTCTATACTTTATATGTTAACTGATAATAAAAAAAAGTCTGCTTTCTAAGAGTACCATCTTTACTTTAACTTATATTTTAATAAGAGACCTTTGTAATGCTTTCAAAAAAAAAAAACTAATGGAAAAATCTTATACTAGTGCAGAGTTTAAAGTCTTACTACCTAGTATATAACTGTTACAACTTGAAATCTAGTAGAAGAATTCAAAAAGATTTCACAAAAGTAAAATTCCTTACTAAAAATAACCAATTTTTAAAATGATTTTGTAATAATTTTAAAATACTACTAAAATATATTTATTATATTAAATGTTTTTATTATACTTTTATTATTATTTTATAATTGTATTATATTTAGTCTATAAAAATAACTTATCATTATAATATAATTAACTTTAGCAAAAATGTACGTTATACCGGAAGATACCAGTATCCTACCCCAAAACACGTGATTTGTATACTAATATCGTGACACAAAATCATTGTACAATACTATAATTTAGACTTTTTGATTTATAATACATACAATAAACTCTTTTTATACTTTTTATACTCGAACAAAACTTTTTTTATGTAAAAACTACTTTTCTTTTTATTTAAAATGTGAACTTTCTGACAAATACTCTTTCTTATTTAATAAATATTTCACTTAAACACAATTTTATGAACTTTTTCTGAACACGAAAATTTTACTTAAACACAATTTTATGAACTTTCCTGAACGTGAAAAATTTTACTTAAACACAATTTATGAACAACTTTTCCTGAATGTAAAATTTAATAATCTTTATACATGGTGAGTGAGAGTTGCGTTTGCTATAGAATTACTTAGGGTTAGGGTTAGGTTAGGTGCGTTAGTTAAGGAATTACTTAGGGTTAGGGTTAGGTTAGATGCGTTGGTTAGGGAATTACTTAGGATTAGGGTTAGGTTAGGTGCGTTGGTTAGGGAATTACTTAGGGTTAGGATTAGGTTAGGTGAGTTAGTTAGGGAATTACTTAGGGTTAGATTAGGTTAGGTGCGTTGGTTAGGGAATTACTTAAGGTTAGGGTTAGATTAGGTGCGTTAGTTAGGGAATTACTTAGGGTTAGGGTTTGGTTAGGTGCGTTGGTTAGGAAATTATTTAGGGTTAGGGTTAGGTTAGGTTAGGTGCGTTGGTTAGAGAATTACTTAGGGTTAGGGTTAGGTTAGGTGCATTGGTTAGAGAATTACTTAGGGTTAGGGTTAGGTTAGGTGTGTTGGTTAGGAAATTATTTAGGGTTAAGGTTAGGTTAGGTTAGATGCGTTGGTTAGGGAATTACTTAGAGTTAGGGTTAGGGTTAGGTGCGTTGTAGTAATCCAAACTTGATAGAAAATTAATTAGTAATGGAATGTAGGTATCTTAGTATTTTAGACAAATAGAAAATAGCATAGTAAGTCACGTGAAGATCAATCCAAATGATTGACACTGAATGCAGGCACTTTGTGTATTTATTTGTCCACAATGGAACCATTGTAAAGAATAACTCCTGGACACGAGTATAAACTGTAACCAATTAGAATAGATAAGTCATATGAGTTCAAGGATAATTGAAATCTTATTTAATGAACAATTATTTGATCTGAATAAATTAAAAAAATTTTGAACAGATAATTTTGTGGAGAAGTGAATCGATAAGATTTTACCCTTATTGTTGTATTTTGAATTTAATGAATTTATTATTATTAACGAATTATGAATTGTTTATACTTTATTTCCTTTATTGAAAGTTGTGAAAGGCATAAATCTTTTAGATTTTATTAGTCCGAAAGAACAACATTTTATTCGATCCTTTAAAAATGAATTACTAAACCAAGCGTATTAATGTATTTTATATGAAGTTCTGACCCTATACATGAGTTTTTATGTATAATGAGGTATGCATGTGGCAGGTGCATCCTTCAGCGTTGGTTAGGGAATTACTTAGGGTTAGGGTTAGGTATATTTGCTAGAGAATTGTTTACTAATTGTTTACGCTTTGATTTTTTTAGATGTTTGAAGAGATCAATGTTCTTGATTTTGAAAATCCATCAGTTGATTTACTACTTGAAGATGAGATCAATTTATCTGAATGTAATGGTTTATAATAAATCTGCTAAGCAATTAAATTCAAAAAGAGAATTTTATGGACATGGTTTTGGACTTTGCAAGAAAGCTTTGAATTTAGCGATTACAAATGGTTCAAATAAGGTTTTTGAAGAGCTTTTGCAAGACTTTATTAAACAACAATTGTCTGTACAGAATGAAAATAACGAACAAATTGAACACGAAATTGATGTTTCTAAGATATCAAATCTAGCTAGACATAAAGGTAAAAGTTGACCTGCAAATAAAAGGTATCTATCATCTATTGAAAATCATTTCAAGAAATATGCTAATTCAAGTAGTCAAGATGAAAATGTGGAAAGGTTGAAAAAGAAGAACAAGCGGCAATGTGGCATATGCAAATCTTGGTATCATGACTCCCGAAATTGTCTTTTAAAGAATAATAAAAAAGGCGATGTTTATTTTGATCAAGAAAATTTAATGGTTGAATCAAACATATAATTAGTACAATCTAAAAATTTATGTTTCATTATTTTTTCATTTGTTGCTTTATCAATTTGCATTTTTATTCTTAATTAATATTTATTTAAAAAGTTTGTAAATAAAAAGTGAATTTTTAAATCAGAATTTGAATATTTTAAAAATTGGAGTTTAAATTTGGGAAAGGATACTGGTATCCCCCAGTATGAAATAAAAATTTTCTTAACTTTAAAATTATTTTAATGTTTTAATCTTAAATAGAAATTAGAATCAATTAAGATTAATTGATTAATTAATTGATTAAGTTAGTTAACTGATTAAGGTACCTCAAAAATCGGTTAATCAAATAATTTAACTGAATAATTTAATCAATTAATTAATCAATTAATTAAATTGGTTAAAAATGCAAAAACAAATATTATTTATAGATTTATTTTAAATAAAACTTTATTAAAGGTGGCTATTTAACATAAATGATAACGAGCTGAATGATGATTTTATGAATATTGTGACTATAAGAATATTGAAAATATTGAAGAATCTTTTATATCTGGATTGTCAAAGCTTAGTACATTTTCTAGCTAATACTATAATTTCTAAAAGATCATCATTTTTGGAATCAACAACTAGTAATTAGCAGCAACAAATAAAAAAATTAAAGGGTATTGCTTAACACTGGTCGAAATCATTTATTTCGTCAATAAGACCTTTCGGCAACAATTCAGCAAATCGATCACATGATTTGTCACACATTCGGCTAATTACAAAAATCAGAAAAAATTCGGCATAAATCAACTGGTCGATTTTAGGTCGATTTTTGGTTGAGTTGTAACATAAAAAAATCCATAAATCGACCAATATTTTTTTTTATTGATTTTTATTAATAACAAACAATCAACTTAAAAACTTTTTTGACGATTTTTAAACAATTTTTTAATTAATTAATATCAATAATGGCAAAAGTTTAGCAGATCAGTGACATACAATGTACTAAGCCGCAGTCACTAAGGTTGCTTGTCTAAACCTCTTCAAAATCCTACGATTAGTTTCGTCAAAATTTTACTATAGATTTATTATAGTTTCGGCAGAGTTTCGGCAGTTTCGGCATTTATAATAAGTTTCGGCAGTTTCGCCTTTCTCCAAAGTTTCGCCAGTTTTTTAATATAACTTTAATATAGTTTCGGCAGAATTTC